AAAAAAAGAAATTTATGTGTAACAGTTAAGAAAGTTAACAAAATTCGAAAGCAGCGAATTTTCTCTGCCACCGTGCTACGTACAAAATCAATTCAATTATATATCAATCAATTCACATATATTTAATTAAATAAATGTTAATTATATTAATTTTTTGGCGGAAAAATAGTGACGTTGATTCTGAAGACAGAATCTTCTGAGTCAACTATTATATTCAACTAGTATTGCTTTAATGGCGTAGTGGCCATGGATGATAGATGGATTTGCAGTGTAAAAGGAAACTTAACCAAGCTACAATGTGTTGTTAATTTAATTGGGCACATTATCACTCTTAGGAAAAGCATACCAAAAAGAAATATCAATGACCTTTGTCTTATTTTTTTCCCAACAATTCAACAGAAGATTCCTATTTGTTTACGGAAATTTAGCTTTTGTCAACCAGCTTCCAAAAAATATTTTTAAATTTTCGACCCCAGTGTATAGAAAAATTTTAGTTGAGGGTCTACCATTTGTCGTCATCATCCTAAAAGAGATTATTAGTCTTTACTGTGGCGGGCCGGAAGTACTCCTTGTCCACATATCGTGATGCTGTTTTGAGAAAATATAAATAAAATTCTCAAAATGGACTTCTGTAAAATTGAGAATAAAATAATAATACAAATGATTTGTTGATTAATACGATATATACACAATCACAAATCTAATAGATTTTTTTTTTTGTAAATTTAAAAAAAACTACATGTAGTGCTAAACTGCTATATATAATCAATTACCGTAGAATTCACTTTAAAAAAAAAAATTACCGTATAATTCGACCGCCGCGTTGTGGCAATTGATTCATACACTTGTATAATTGGATTACGGTAATAAGTGTCGGCTATGGTCAAATCTAGCAAGAGTGCTTCCAAGAAAATGGTTCATTCTGTTTCCTTTTTCAAAGTAAACTATCCTAATTTTTCTTGATTTTTATTTAAATTATATTTATTTTTAAAAAAAATTAAAGGGCAATTTTATTCTTAAACTATAAGTTCCGGAATATTTAATATTTTAAATTCATTTTTAGTATAATATCACACCTATAGTTAAAAAAAAGTAATTTTGATAGAAAATTACAAATAAATGTCATCTAAAAACTTATAATTTTTTTATTCTTTTTTATAATTTTAGGTCATTTTTTGTAATATTTGAAGTTTTTTATAATTTTTTAATCAATTAACAGAAATAATATTAATATTTGTTAATTGTTAATGATAGAAATAACACTGCATCATTTTTAATGTCGAAGGAAAACATGACACAGAAAATAAGTTTAAGATAACATATGTTCCTAAACTTATAATTTAAAAGCCAAATTGTTATTTAACTCAAACAAACTATACCACACCCATTCCGAATTCCTTAGCATGCTGATATGCAGCCCGGGTTCTCTTCCTTGACTAATCTTCTAAACGTATATAACTAAATTAAATTAAATTAATACTAATTTAACGTTAAATGGCATGGAATATCTGAAAGAAATTCTATTATATTTGGATAATATCCAGAAAGCAATACTACTTTAAAATAGAGGGAAAACATAAGTGGCCGCCATATGTAGCTTATTTCATAATCGAGATTATTTCCCCTCCAATCTGTCGAACGCGCAACCCAGCTGTACTGTGCCGTTCAGTTTTCCTTTTCACTTGCAACTTTAATTTCAATTTACAAAGCACATAACTGTATTTCTATTTGTTCTCGCCTTTTAAATTTTCTAATCTAATCATAGATATATGGCATATGGGTATGAGGTTGACTACTACTTTTTTTTTTTTTTTTTCCCCTTTTTCGTGCAGATTTTATTTTCCTTTCTCATCAGAATGTCTATTTTTTTCACATCACTAAAATTATGCTTGATAATTAAGAGGTCATAAAAGCAGAGACTAAAGTTGAAGAGATAAGATTCAATAATCAATAATTATTATCAAAGCATAAAGTCCTATTGGGCTCTTAATCAGTACCAACTTCGAGAGAAACTTGGCTAAGACACGAATACAGTCGGCACGTTTAATTACGTGATTCGGTTGATTAGTTATTGCACGACACAAAGGCTCTCCAATACGCGTCAGATTTTTTTTTTTTTATTTCCTGGGGTTTATTCTAGACCCTGTGTATCTGGAAAATAAACGTTCTAATTTTCGCATCTAACATAACAAACAAAACATAATTAACTATTTATATAGGTGAAAACTTTAATCCCAGTGGTTGGTTGGACGAGGAGAGAAAATGGGAGAAAAGAAAACGAGTGGAGTAAGAAAAGGTGGAACAGAAAAGTAAAGAGAAAATATCATCCCTGCTTACATAAATGGACAAGAAAAACAGAGGAGATTAAGAAAAGTGAATAATTAATTATTTCACAATGAAATTAACACCCATATGAAAAAATTGCGGGTCTTATGACTCCTTCTCTCCTTTAGAGTAATGTTGAAAAGCGTTTTCTCTTCAAGATATATCTTGAAGAGAAAGCCATGAAAACAATATCATACGGCCGGGCATGTCTATTTTTCTTGTCCAATATCTTGAAGAGAAAGCTATGAAAACAATGTCATACGGCCGGGTATGTCTATTTTTCTTGTCCATTTTTTTCGTTCTTATTTTCTCTTGATATCCAGATAACGAAAAATCATGTTTAATTTGTTCCTCTAGTTTTTCTTTTTCCCCATCCAGAAATAGGGTAAAAGACTACAATTTTATTTTCAACGTTTCATACAACGAGTTCTTGGTTACAAAAGTACACCAAGATAGTGAAGGCAGAACTGAAATGAAAGAAAAAATAAGAGAAAATTACTAAAAAAATCCTGGATAAGAGAATGAATTGTTAGTGATCTCATATAACTGAGTTTTTGTTTTATTATGTCTGATAGGGAATTTGTGTACAAAAATATATATAGGAGGAGGCTTTTGAAATTTTCTCTCCATCCTATGTATATATGTGGTGGTTTAATATTAAAAGAACAAGTTAAGAATTTATATAACAAAGTTTATCTATCATTTGATTTTTTAAAAAAAAATTATAAAAATAAACACGGAGAAGAAGAGGGGTGCTAATTTTCAGGGTACTTGATTGTTAAGTTTTTTTTTAAAGAATCACTGATTAATTTAAAATTTGAGCATTATTAAGTTTAAATGGAAAAAAGAGTAACAGAAATTTTTTCTCTTAAAAAAAAAAAACCACTTGGTATCACAAGTGGAAGAAGAAGGAACTTCATAGGGACAAAAAAGTACGTAAGTAACTACGAGAAGCCTTAGGATTCGTACGCCGTGGTTGGCGGCATGGCCATAAATCGCGGTACCTAGCTATCTTCAACTCAACTTCCCACTTATTCATATTCTTTTCCAAAAGACATACCCGCAGATCGACCACTTCGTCTTTGTCGTTAATATTGTCTGAGAAAATAAAGTCTTTAAAAATCATCTAACCCAGCCTCACCCTCTTGTTCCATTTAATTTACTGCATCGACAGCTTTTGAAAGTCGAAATGTTTCGCTTCGCTCTATTCCACCAAATCAATTTTCAGATCATTAACAGTTTCTGATTGTGAGCCTTTAATTTCTTGGTGGATGTTGACAAGCCACATCCATGAAACCGCAACCTTTCACCTCGAACCACTCTCATTGGTCGTTTTACATATATGTGACGAAACTTCCCATATCCCAACACAAGATAGATATAAATAAAACTGATCCATCAAACAAGCCTGGGAGCAACGATATAGTGTTGTGTCGATCCTCGTCAAATATTGGTGTCTATATATAATAAATCATACCACTAATTAATTCCTTCCTCCTCGGAAGGCAGAGCAAGGAAAAGACATCAATTTTGAAGTACTTAATCACTTAGATTGATTAATATATTTCTTCAATTCCCGTGATGTATGAACAATTAATTTTTCTTATTCCTAGCCGGTTGACATATCACATATCACGCACACGAACTTTTGCTGGCAAGTTTTACCGACTTCAAATTCAAAATTTGCTATATGCTTTTCATGAATTAATTAAGTAGGGACGCGAGAAATTATTCGTTATGGGAGAGAGAGTGTGGTCCAAAATGTAACCCTACCTCTACCTTACGTGTTAATCATTTGAAAATTGAAGCTGCCTCTTTATATAACAGGAAATAATAATTTAAAAAGCCACATATGCATTGATGAAGAATTTTATCAGTTAGTTAGTAGTGGCGTGGTGGTACTTTGGTTCCCTTGGGGATTTTCTGCTCATGAAATTAAAGTTATGACGAATCAGTTATACCTTAGCCCTAATTAGTGACGAAATGAAGATGCAAAGCTTACGTATTAACAAAGGAATTTCACAAAAAAAAAGGAATTAATAAAAAAAATGATACAGAATAACAATGAGAAAGGCAATGAGATTCTTTTTTGACTTGGGTTAAAGTTACTGATTAGGTCTCTTTCTCTCTCTCTCTCTCTCTCGATTGTGTGTGAAAGTATTGTATTTGTACTGATGCATGTCTGAGGGTTATTGAGGGGGAGCCCATGTCCTGGTAACAGAGAGAGTCTCGCTATAGTTAATTGGTACAACAAGACAAGCCCACCCCATGGGCCTCTGCACCTTCCTCAAGCTATCCGACAAACCACGTGACCCCTTCCATGAAGAGCACATTATCATTAGCACCATGACCTTATTATCATCACCATCATCATCACCTTTCAACATATTAAAAAAAAAAATTGCCACACACACCCTTGTAATTATTGCGCTTATCTCACAAGCTATAGTCAGTTTCTGGGTGCATATCTTTCTCTGATATACACTCACCAAGAACCCCAAAAAGGTTAATGAATGGTGGACATCGTGATTAAGCAAAGACCCTGTTTGACACACATGACAGTGCCACTCCATCTGAAAAATTACAATATAATTAAGAATAAAATCATTATAAGCTATGTTTCGTTTTAATTCTGATTGGCCACTTTTTTCATCATTCATGTAGGAACCAAGACATTCTAAGTAACTCCATTGAAGCACTAATTAATGAGCATGATCACATTGTTGGAGATGATAATCATCTTCTGACGTGAAGAACTAGAAACATGATCATCTATATGTATATATATTCTCATCATTTATTCTAGTTATATCTGGCATGGTAGGGACTGCTACACTGATGATGTGTTGGACACGTGGCATAGTGGTTCGGAGCCTGACACTAACGATGATGCGGATCGGGCAAAGTCCCAGAGGTCAATCTCGCTGGTGTAATCGTAATTAGCTCCACTGTTGAGGGCTGATGATGATGATATTATTGACGAAAGTGAGGAAGGTCGTAGGGTCGGAAGTTGCCGATCGTAGCCCGAGATGGGGTCTCCGGCGGTATTGAAGCAAGGCAGGCTCCGGGAAGTCTCTGTTTGGCCATTAAGCTGCGAAGCTACAAGCCGATCCAGTGCTGCCCAGTTGGTGATAAGGCCGGCATTAACTGACGAAGCTGCCGATTCTGTTTGATGATGAACAAAGCTGCGGTCGCCGCCACCATAAGCCGCTTCCATAATAGGGTGGTACCCGGTGTTGTTGTTGGTAGATGTTGGGCTTTCTAAGCGAGGAAGCTTCGAGAACCTGTCATGGTGGAAGTAGCCATTGTTGTTGTTGGTGGTGGTGATGACAGTGTCGTCAAACCGTTTGGTGATTCTTCTGTTGGTAGTGGGGTCGTTATGTTCTTCTTCCTTGCAACAGTTTCTTCCCATTTGCTCGAGTATTTGTTCCAAAGCTCCCTCGTCGTCGTCACAAGCATCGAAAATGGAGTCGTGGTTGTGGCTTCTCATGGTTTCCTCTGCAATGGACGAAGCCAGGGGGCTCTCTAGGGTTTTGAGATGGTTCTTCTTCTTGAATATCCTGCACACCACCCACCCCTCTTCCTGTCCTCCATCTCCCATTACATTCGTGACCTGAGTTTTTCCAACATAGATACACACAAATTTAATTAACATCTGTCTTCTCTTGTTAAACAATTATAGAAGGAGAAAGAACACCGCCATCATGATTTGAACATTCTCGATTTAGAGTGAACACTCACAATGCTGGTCTCGGTGCTGGTGTTGTTATCTTCGAGCCTATACTCATGCATGATCCAATCAGACTTTTGGCCGTGAGGGGCACGTCCTTTGTAGAAAACAAGGGTCTTCCTCATCCCGATCCTCTTCCCGTTGCCGTATATCACCTTGTCCCGCCCGGTCGCCTTCCAGAATCCGGCAGCGGTGGCCCGGTTCGTTCGAGTTCCGGTGGGATACTTCTTGTCTTTGTGGCTGAAGAAGTACCAATCGTTCTGTGGGGTGGTTCCTATTTTGCACTTCTCTGAAACCCAATAGCAACGTCTTAAATAATTAGCGCACTATTATCAGGATGAAAGATGGAAGAACGTCAACGAAGAAACCAAAAGGCTATGCATATATCTCTAGCTATGAATCACCTTGTATATCCCAGGGTTCGAGCTTGTTGAGATCGACGTCGCGAATGACGTCGAGGTCGATCTGCTCGTAGCAGACCTTCTTCCTGAGGTAGTACTGCAATAGCTCCTCTTCAGTGGGATGGAAACGGAAGCCAGGAGGTACCTGGGACTGTCCATTCACAGAGATGCTCATGTTCTCCTGCATTCAGATGGATAATAACTGAAGCAGACGAGAAAATATTTTCAGGTTTTCGTCCTAGCTACAGCTTGTGGTTCCAATTCGAAGGTTTTCTCCACGACCAAGCGCAGAGAGAACACTTTTAGAGACTAAGAGAAGAGAGGGGATCGGAGGAGAGATAAGGGAGAGATGGTGTACTGGAATGAGTATGTAAAGAATCACTATATATATATATATATGACGCGTGGGCCTGAAATAAACGACCAAAATAAATACCTCTGGAGAAATTCCATGGGAGAACAACAGCTATGTTCCAGAACAAAGAATTAATATCAGTTAAGTCCTTAATAACTCTTTTTAAAAAGAAAGTTAAAACTATCAAATCCAAATTATTATAAAGTCAAAAGTTTTAATTACAGATAAATATTTAAATATAAATATAATTTTTAGATTGCAACAAACATTTTTGTTTGTAACTATTTAAATTTATATTTATAATTTATTTTGTAAAAAATTAGTTGGGGACTTAAATGATATTAATTTACTGTTTTTGGGACCTAATTGTCATTCCAAATTCTAAATATACATGTGATTTGATTTGGTTTTCTTTTTCGTTTTCTTTTCAAGAGAAATAATATATAGGTTAAATTCTAAAGAAATTTGAATAAAAAAAAGTGTAGGGAAAAAGTGAAAGGGAAATGTTGGTGTAGCAGGAAAGAAAGGGGATGAAAGTAAAAGAGAACGTGTGTGAATGGGGGAACATTGTAGTTGATAAAATGAAAAAGGGAAATTTCAATAAAGACCATTGACTGCATTTATTTAAATTTAAAGCCCATAAATTTTGAAATTTTACTAAAATTCAAAGATACTGATTTGATATTAAAATTTTTGAGAAAAATGATAAAATTATCCTTCATTTAAATTAATATCAAAACCGCCATACTTCACTTAGCTTGTTAATTGTTCTACTCTACTTGTTCATTTATTTACAAAATATTATTAATTGCCTTATTTCATTTGTTTATTTTTCTAAAATGAAATCAATTAAAAGTTTAGTAATGAACATAAGTAAGGCAATGAATAATAGTTTGTAAATAAATGAATAACATACAATAACAAGTTATTTTAAAATAATTTAAACACCTAAAATAAAAATAATTTAAATAGAATAATTAATAAGATTTCGTAAATAAATTAATAAGTAAAGTAGGACAATGAATAAATAAAGTAAAAAAGTTTTAATATTAATTTAAGTGAAGAGTAATTTTATTATTTTTTAAAAATAATATCAAATCAACATCTCCAAATTGTAACATAATCTCAAAAATTTAAAAATTTTAAATTAAAATAAATATAATCAATGGTGTTTATTGAAATTCTTCCCAATAAAAAAGAGGGGGAACCCCACCTAATCACCTACCAAGAAGAAAGGAGGGGGTGAAGTGGGAGGTGGGGCCCACGGGGTATGCGGGCATCACATGAGGGCCCCACATAAATTTTGGACATAGCGTGGGGAGAATGGGAAGAAGAGTAAGGACGCACGCCCACATCCACAACTATGACCCCTGACCTTAAAAATCTCCATGGAAAACCACCGTCTGGACCATTAATTTCACCCCTCCTCCCTCCCTCCCAATCAGGCTATGTGATTCATATTCCAGTGTTATCGGACTAAATGTTGAATTAGTGTCGTAACTTTCTCTTCTGAAGTAACTGTATGATGAAGAATGCACAGGTTGCATGTTTGTTTTGTTACGTTATATCCGAATTTTCTCCGGTGGAAATTTAAAAGTGAAGAAACAATATGAGATTATTTGAATTGAGAGTCAATAGCTTTCAGCATTAATCAGCAACCACCGGGATCGGGAGAGGAGGAGAAAAGTAAAAAGATGACGGGTGGGACTTGCGCTTTCAGGGCCCGTTACAACGAAAATGAGGAAAATGTGTTTGCAGATGTGACAGCCGCGGAACACAGCTTGTCAAACTAGCATATTCCCAGTTATTTACTCTTTTTTTTTAAATTTCGTCTAGCTCAATCTTCATCAACCAAATTTTTTTTTTTATATTAGCTTTTCGTAATCAGTAGGAGGGAATTAATTTTCTTAAATAAATCCACTTACAAGTAAATTACATGTAACCAATTGACGTAATGCAAACAATGCATAGAACTCATTCAACATAAATATTTATTTGGAAAAGAAATGTCATGTTTCGTTTTCCATATGCATATACAATATTTTGTCTGCCTTTCTCAATCTGCTTCTCGCTCCCTTCTCACTACCTTTTCTTGTTTTGTTTTTTTTATTCCAAGCCCTCCGTTCTAGGCTTTTGGTTCCTTACTTTTCATTCTGGGTTTTATTGGAGGGAAGTACATTATTGTTGAAATCTGTGAATTTTTGTGAAGTCCCCCTCCCTTTTTATTATTTTCCTCAAATTATTATTCTTTATAAAACATGAAATCCTCTCTTTTACTTAAAGAAGTAAACTACATGAAATTCACCGATTTACAATTTCCAAAGATCTATTCCCTTGTTAGAGTTTTTACTTATTTCACAGTTTCATTTATGTCCCTGAAAAAAGAAAAGAATTTCCTCCTCATTTTATCTGCTTTCACTTCATTTACTTAGTTCACAGTTGTTTTGTTTCCGAGAAAGATTAAAGCTAGTAAATAATTATTTAAAAAATACAGTCAAAATATTAAAAAGCTTCATTTTTGTTACCTACATGACTAAATTAATATATGTATGAATTGACAAATCATTATAATATATAGAATTCACTATATACATAGTTAAATACTAAATCTAAGTTTTGGAAATTTGACAAAAACATTAATTTTGTGGGGGAAGATCAACGTAAAATCATGAACAGTAAATCTTAAATAAGTGCGTATTCCAATTTATTATAATACAGTGATGATGATTATATTATTTTAATTCTTAAAATTTTCACTTATGTTTTATAGAATTTTATAAATACAGCGCCGAAATGGCATAAATGTCCATTGAGACTTGACAATTGTTTTTGCGAGAGGCAGAAACTGATGATTTATAAAATAATATTTGAATGGCTTAATTTGACTCTCTTAAAAGAAATTCAGCCTGACTCCCCCCCCCCCCAAAAAATCAAGCTTAGTCCTTTTTATATGTTTTGTTTATCTAAACAAGGTAATAGAAAAATAATCAAAACAAGCTGTTTCCTTTCAACCACACTTGGATACAAATCCTAATTAGGATGGACAATACTTTGTAGAACATAAAAAGTATAATATATTTCTATCGAAAAGTTTTGACAAATTAATATATATATATATATATATATATAACATCTAATAATGCTAAGATTTTGTTTACCATCTTGATGAAATCATCATTGTATATATTTTTACCATCACTATCACTCACACTGTTCTACCAAAAATCCATAATACTATCTGACCATATATATGTCACCCATATATGCAACCACCTTTTGTTACTGTCTCCCTTCACCAGTCAATATTACCCTCTCTCCCTCCTTCATTTACTTCACATTTCTTTCATTTTTAACATCTTTATGTTTTATCATTTCCATTACCAAAATTTTAAATTTTAATAAAAACGATCGATCAAATTTAAATCCTACCAAAAAATCTCACAAGAAAGGGAAAAAAGTTAATATAAGGGAAAAATAAATTAACTACTAAGAATTCTCCTTATATTTGATTCCCTTGATATGGCTATTAGCAAATTTAATTACTTAATATGATTTATTCCAGCTATAAGATAATCCAGGAAGATAAGTTTTATGGATATTATTTATTCATGTTTTATAAAAGATAATAAAATGAGAAAAAATGTAAAAAAGAAGAAGAAGAAGAAGAAGAAGAAGAAGCACTTCACATAAATTCATAAATATCAACGTTAGAGGATTTAAATTTGCCATATTTTTCCCAGTGCTGCCTCATTGCAGAAAAGGATTGATAAGAACTAAGCCACGATAATAATGAAGAAGTAATATTATCATATATATTAAAAAAAAATCAGTAACATGTAGAAAAAGAATGCCTACCACAAACTTTGTCGTTATTGTCATGATTCTATTAGAAACTGCAACAACTTAATATTTTGGTTTTACAAAGGTTACTACTAATTGCTGGTCCATCTTTGCTATCTAATTACCTTAAAGATTACTTTGCTGACGTGAAAATGTGAACTGCTCAATCTGGATGCGCACCAACATTTTGCATCTTCCACTACAAATTTCTATGAGACTTTAATATTAAATCTAAAAGGTTTTCTAAACTCGGGAATTGTTATAACTGTAGTTAACTAGACTAGTTATTATATGTTAAAGGACGACGAGAAGAAAACCAGAGTGAAAAGTTCTCGTGACTTTCTTAGGGTTGCTACTTGGCACAAGAAAAAAGCAAAGAACATAATTTCATGATGTGAACCTTGTACATAATTGCGTGTTTTCCTATATTATTTTTTCTTCAACTACATATAATTGCGTTTCTGTCAATGGAGGACCCAGGACTCCGGGTTAATTTGGGGGGGAGGGATTTTTTTTCAGACAAAAATAATACATATTTCACTCATAGCAAAATTTAATTTGCTTCACGTATTGACAGAAGGGGATAAAATCAAATGAACTAGATTTTCTATATGTACAAAAGTTGATATTCAAACTCCAACTACTTGTTTAAATAATAATCAGATCTCTACTACACAGGTTCACCACTTATTTTTGTAGCTGATTTACTTTCATTCAACTAAAATCGAAGTTTAATAATCATTTTTCTTAATGCGAGATAGTGATTAAACATAACTGTGCGATTAAACGGTGACCAGGCGTACAATAACAAATTGAACCATCTTTATTTTGAGTCATTAAGAATAGACAGTCATAAAAGAATAGACACTCTTTCAATTTATTTTTACTTTTTATTGAATTTATTTTATGCTTCTTTTACCAAAAATTAAGTAATTATAACATTTTTTTTTACAAAAAATACATTTGGTTTGGTCTAATTAACAATTAGTGTGGTTTTATTACTTATTGGTGTGGTTTAGTTCATGCATAATCAATTTTATACAAGAGCTAGTTCATATTGTCAAGGTGATATTCATACGCTGCAAATTAATCAAATCATCGAACATGCATATGGTTAAAATACATTCTTACTGAAGTTTTGGTGAAGTTGAAAT